AAGATATCGTAAAACAATGGATGAAATAAAAGACATTCTTATTAATCCTATCCTTAAATAAATCGTACAAAGACATACTCATGTTAAAAAATACATTAGGAAATTTCAGCATATGAAAAACACATCCAATTTGGTAATGAAATCCTTTTGTATTTATAAAGCTATTTTTAGAACAGCATGTACCTACCAAAAACAGGTATTTGGTAGTATACATATCTATTACATATTGCAATGTGTATGAATGATAAAAAAATTAGGAGTCCGTATAAACCGTTTAAAATATATAAAATGTATATATCAAGAACGCTGGAGCTCTACGGCTTAATTGCATAGTTGCCAAACTATCAGAGCTTACTTAAACCGATATTCTTATGGTTCCAATATACAGTCAAGAAGATCTGAACGACCCCTATAATATATACACGTGAACTAAGCGAAATACATTTATGATACAGGGGTACTTATGAGCTCCAAAATTTTATTAAGAATTATGAAACTATACATCTTAACGAATCAACAGAGCCAATATTATGGAATGGTCAAGTGAGCTCCGTATATTGGTGTCCACTTGACCACGGAGCTCAGTTGAACCTGAATTTTAACATGGGCGGAGTTCACTTTATGCCGTAAATATATATATATATATATATATATATATATATATACAGGGTGAGTCATGAGGAACTTTACATACTTCTACCATATGTAGAGTCCCTCAGGGAGCATATCATGTGGCCACTAAAAAATGTCAACTCCTCTTCTTTATTAATTAACAGGGTGATTTGTGTAATTGACCATTTATTTCATTTTACTGTAGTGTTTATACGGCTCATTTGATTTTTTTAATTTTTGCATGATACAGTACACTACTATCAAGCATTCGACTGGTAATAGCTAAACTAAAAAATTCCAGGACTGGCTTTGGAAAAATTAATTTAGGGATTCGTATTAAATATTACACCCTGTATATATATTTTTTTAAATGCAATAAGTGATTTTCAAACTACATAAATAGCCAATGAAAACGACATATGTGACAATGTTGTCGCACTTTTATTAAATTTTTAGTGAACGATCAAATCTTATCAAAAATAGAACAACCATAATGAAGTATCAAATTATAAGGCAATTTATTTAAACAAATGCTATAAATTTCAAACATTTTAATTGAAATGATAAACTGAGTCACTGCACAACAAAAAACAGTAACTACTAACAATAATGAAGAACAATTTAAAAAAAAAACTAAAAATATGTACATAGTTATGATAAACTCATAAATTAGAACTGGAAAAGATACAATAATGGTAACAAAATAAAAATAATTCAAAATAAATTTTCGAAATGGAACCCTGCAGCCTGTACACATTTTTCTTGCCGAATTGTTAATTGACGTATTGAATTACGGATACTCTGGGGATCGTTTCTAATAGTATTACAACAATGTATAATTTTATCAATTAATAGTTGTCGGTTATTAGTATTCACTACGTAAACTAGTTGCTTTAATCGTCCCCAAATATGGTAATCAACGGGATTGAAATCAGGGGATCTTGAAAGCCACGAAATAGGACCTGCACGTCCTATCCACCTGTTGCCATAAACATTATTGAGATGTTGTCTCACTACCAGTAAAAAGTGTGGGGGTGCCCCATCATGCTGAAAATACATCCCTTGGATAGCAACGTTCGCGTTGGCAAGCAAATTCGGCAAAATATTTTGTAGAAAGTTCAAATAGACCTGCCTTGTTAAACGACCATCAAAAAAGTGAGGACCTACTAATTGGTTATTTATGACACCAACCCACACGTTAACCGAAAACCTTAACTGAGAACGACGTCCTCGAATAGCATGGGGATTTTCTTCTGCCCACACATGTGAATTTCGTGAATTATTTATCCCGTCTCTGGTAAATTGGGCTTCATCTGTAAATAGTGTCCTGTATAGCATTGGTCGATTATTGTTAATCCATCTACAAAATTCCAACCTATCGATCTCATCTCCAGCATGTAGTCGCTGAACCATTTGAATGTGATATGGGTATAGATTATTTTTTTGTAAGACTCTACTTACTTTTGATTAAGCAACATTGAGTTCTCGACTTACTTGTCTAGTGCTTATTGTAGGGTTCATAGTAACGGCGTCCATAATGTCATCTTCCTGCGCTTCATCTACATGTCGCTCTGTTGTTCCACTAGGAAAAGTGCCATTTTCTCGCAAATAATTAAAAACTGACCCAAATGTTGGATGACTGGTAGTTCGACGATTAGGAAATCTCCTGCGATATTCTCTACTAGCAGCCCTACCATTCCCATTACAGAATCCATAAACAAATATTATGTCTGCATATTCTGTGGTCGAAAACTGATATGGCATTTTGAACGAAAGTAACAAAAGCTCTACCAAAACTAACACAATGTACTTAACGTAGATATGACAGAAGAAATATGTATTCTTGTACACATAAATAACAATTGATAATGACAATAATGACAATGGGTATAAAATATCAAGAAACGTCAAACCGTCAACGCCAACCTTCATTTTAAACTTTTTTAGATTTATTTTTATTTAGTACAGTTGATACAATGTATTATTATTTGACATAAAATTTTAATCATTTACAATCAACAAAAACTAACACATACAAAAGGTTTGACTTTTTAATGAATTTAATTTATTATTTATCGAAAATAATGCCCCAATACGATCTATGAGTAAAAATTTAAAATTGAAAAACAATTGATTCTATCGTAGATATAATACAAAGTGACAGTAAAGATGTTAATTTTCTATGTATTAAATTATGTTGTAGGAACTCATTTTAATTAAAATGTTTGAAATTTATAACATTTGTTTAAATTAATACCTTATAATTTGATACTTCATTATGGTTGTTCTATTTTTGGTAAGATTTGATCGTTCACTAAAAATTTAATAAAAGTGCGACAATATTGTCGCATATGTCGTTTTCATTGGCTATTTATGTAGTTTAAAAATCACTTATTGCATTTTAAAAAAAATATATACAGGGTGTAATATTTAATACGAATCCCTAAATTAATTTTTCCAAAGCCAGTCCTGGAATTTTTTAGTTTAGCTAATACCAGTCGAATACTTGATAGTAGTGTACTGTATCATGCAAAAATTAAAAAAATCAAATGAGCCGTATAAACACTACAGTAAAATGAAATAAATGGTCAATTACACAAATCACCCTGTTAATTAATAAAGAAGAGGAGTTGACATTTTTTAGTGGCCACATGATATGCTCCCTGAGGGACTCTACATATGGTAAAAGTATGTAAAGTTCCTCATGACTCACCCTGTATATATATATATAAGGTATATATATAACCTTGTATATATATATATATATATATATATATATATATATATATATATATATATAAGGTATATATATAACCTTGTATATATATATATATATATATATATATATATATATATATATATATATATATATATATATATATATATATAAGGTTCTTGAACTCCTAAGTGGAGCATAGAGCTTCAGTGCAAACGCGCAATCGGGTTCTATTTTGCGCTAAGGCCTTCACCTCATTCCAAAAATTTCCTTGGCCTCTTATCTCTTCCATGATGGATCTTCTCCAAGTTTGTACTGGGCGACCTCTTTTTCTTTTCCCTTGTGGATTCCACTCTAGGGCAGTCTTTGCGATACTGGAACTATTTTTTCGGAGTGTGTGACCGATCCAACCCCACTTTCTGGAGTTAATTTCATTTTGTACACTCTTTTGTTCGGTCAGGTGTAGCAGATCTTCGTTTCTGATAGTGTTAGGCCAGAATATACGAACAATTCTTCGTAGATATTTGTTAACAAAGACCTGCAATGTGTCTGTGAGGGTATTTGTCACTTTCCACGTTTCACATCCGTAGAGTAGACAGACATGACATTTGATCGGAATATTCGGATCTTTGTCCTTGTAGTATACTCGCCAGATCTCCAAACAGGGTTGAGCGTGCTGAAAGCTTGTTGGGCTTTTCGTATCCTCATACGAATATCGTCTTCGGTACCTCCGTTTTCTGTTATGACACTTCCAAGATACGTAAAGTTTTCCACATTTTCAATCTGCAAATTGTCGATAGTAAATAGCGTGTTGTTCCTTGCATTTATTCTCATGGACTTGATTTAAATTAAAAATTAATAATAGTTGGAACCAACTAGATGACATGAAAATCCGCCGAACACTATAGACTGCATCGGTAATAAGTTGTTTTCTAGGAATTCGTATGCCATTGCGTTTTCTTCGCCACTGGAAGAGTAATTTACCCAGATATATATGTTAAAACAAAATATGAAAAATACTAAAATACGCCTTAAATGTACTCGTAGTCTTCGTTACCTTACACGGGGTAGATATTATTGTCTATCGATTTTTATATAAATAAATAAGTAACTAATTTATTAATCTTTCGGGTCATACAAGTATGAAGGTACATCTACACTGTAAGGTAGAAGAGGATGGAATATATACTTGTTTTTAAGTCCAAATTTATTTTCTTCCCAATTATTACCATCGAATTATTATTGTTTAATTTGTTTAACTCTTTATTGACTTCTTCAACTGCTGTCATGTTGCCATAATTCCTCAATTGCGGCCATTTGCTGTAGCTATACTTAGGGATAACATTTTAAGAAGGTAATGAAGTGGAATACACACAGTGTTCAGTGTTGAGGTTTTATAAGAAGTTGTGTTCGTTTAATTTGTTTGATGATTTTAACTATTGTAATATTAACTGGCGATTCTACGGACCCAAGACATTAAACATTTAATATTTTACTGAAAGACAATGGATCAAAGGTGGACTATAAAGTAGAAAGGTGATCTTATTTTTCCTCATGTTGTGGTTATGTAATGTATCAATTAGTATCCACTGGTTATTTTTACAATTTTATCAATTTTATTTTATTATGATGATCGATACAAAAGTTTTTTTTTATAAAAACAATACTTTACCTTATCTATACTAAATAGTCCTCCCGCCATCGTAGGACTCCAAACAGGCTCGGCAGTGTTCTTGTGTCTCTTCTTTTCGTGTTCAGGAACTGCATGCCAGTTGAACTGTAGGTTCCAGTCGAATCCACCGACGTTAACGCCAGAACTATCGTGGTAGTGATACTCTAATGTAGAATCGTCGATTACGTCGATGACAGGACATACTACGGTTGTGGGATCTCTAGCTATTCTATCCAAAAGCGGTTCTAGCCATCCCACGGTACATTCACAATGTGAATCGAGGTAGGTCAAGACTTTGCCATTGGCATGGTCAGCACCTGAAAATGTTAAATGTTTTATTAAATAAATATATACAAATTTACCAAGGCACGCCATGAACTCATAAAGTATGGAGGACCCGATCTCACTAAACAACTATTAAAGCTAATCCAAAATATAATAGAACAAAACAGAGTACCACAAGAATGGAGATCAGACATCTTGATACCTCTCTTCAAAAAGGGAGACAAATCAGACCCAGAGAATTCCAGAGGAATTAGTTTATTAAACAAAATATTAGGGATATATTGTGCCTGGCTCAAGGCTCCGTTCGTTTGACGAGCCGAGCTTCGAGCTCAAGTCGGTTTGTTTCTTACGAGCCGAGCTGAATTCGAAACGAGCCGAAATTTGATTAAAGAGCTTGTCAATATTGTAGCTAATGCTCTAATACGTTTTCTAATTCATTTATTTCTGCTACGACTGATACTTTTGTTTGAGAATACGTAATTCAGACTACAAATATGTATTTTCTATATACAGTGTGTCCGTAAAGTACGGAATAAATGGGATATTTCTTGACTTAATTAAAATTAAAGAGAAAAATATCTTACTCGTCTTGTTTCCTAACTTTACCATGATAGAGTAACTATATGTGAAGAGAATTTAGTATATTTCTTATTATTTTTTATGTTTTACTATTATTTTGCTTGCCTAAACTAAGTAAAAAAAATTACTATGAATGTTAAAATTTACATGCATTATTATGTTGCATTATAAAGTTTAAGCCGACAGACTACAGACAATTCCGAGTTCCAACATCGAAAAGATTATAATACCCATGTTCGTCCGTCTAAAGATCTGGTCTACTGGCAAGGATCGATCCCACCGTAAACCGATAATCTCAACGAAAATAAGGGCTCGTGCGACAATCGTAGCGAACTACGATTGCCTAGTAAAGTCACATTCAGCCCTATTCTGTAACTACAAATCGAATAGAAATGAGTCAAATCGAGTAGAGGTCAGCAAGTCGGATCGGAATTTGTAAGAATCGGTATTCTGTAACTCATCTCGACCTCTACTATCGGAATGTTGTGTAGAAATTGATTTCGACTAGACAAGCTCTGTCGAGATCAAATTTCGACATCGAAATTGGTCTTGACGCTTGCGCATTGGTTGTTTTGACATTTATTTGTTGACTTTTTGATCTAAATTAGCGGTTGATTAATTTTTGTAGCTACTTCATTTTTTAGTCTGTGGTGTTATTTATTTAGATAAAGTTTACTAAATAATTTAACTGCTCAGCAAATGTCTTTTTCTTTGCTGTCCCTCTTGCCATTTTGTATTCTTTTAACGAACTTTTCAAACTTAACCAAAACATATCAAAACTACTTGACGTGAAATATAATCTTCTTTTTTGATGAATTTTTCGCGAGCACTAGCCTTTCCAGTAACTTAACGTCACAGAACACTTCTTTCGCGTTTCAATGCTGGGTTGCCACTAACTTCTGAGCGCGTCAAGTAGAAGTTGACGTTTTCGATTTACACCGATTACGATGTGAGTTACAGAATGCCAATCCAAACACAAAAACGACGCGATAGATATCCAACATTCCGATTTCGAATAATTACGATTCGACTTGGTGATTTCTATTCGATTTGTCAAAAGTTACAGAATAGATCTGATTGTTTTGAGCCTTTCGACTCTCGGAACTCCAAGAGATATCGTTGCCACCTTTGACTAGAAAGGATACGGCCTTAGAGGCGTTCAGGTATAATCCCACGGATGGTAGCTTCGCACCATTACCCGCTCGAGTAAGTGCGACAACCAAATGTCCGAACCTGCGGTTCCTCTCGTACTGAACAGGATTACTATCGCAACGACGAGTCATCAGTAGGGTAAAACTAACCTGTCTCACGACGGTCTAATCTCTCGAGCGATTCTGGAAATTTCGATAATAAAGTCGTCCCAGGAACGCAACTAAACAATATTGGTAATATCATTTTAAAGTCGTCTACTTTAAAATATATAATATATATCTAAATTGTCAATATGAATGAGTCAGATAAAATAAATTATTAGAAGAATTTTCAACAAGTAACAAAAAACAAAAATAATTGTTTAATTTATTAATGTTTTAAATTTTGAGATTTCCGAAGTTGAAATCGAAACATCAAAAATAAACTTGGAGTATTGTGGCCCACCAAAAATAGTAAATTATGTTAAGATAAATAATGAGAAAATGGAAGGGTATTTTTTACCTATTAAAAAACGAATACTGGTGTTCCGATAAAGTATAGAGTATGTTTCAACTATAGTGGCGGAAATTTCTATGAACAGTAAAGCCTCACCAAACAAAGCAGTGGCGTTCCAAAAAATACTTATGATTTAAATCAAATTGTTTGATTGAAGTCCACAAAAGAAACATGTCCACATTCTTGCAGCACTTTGTCAAATTTATATTGAATTTGATCTTGTTAGTGTCATTTGATGATTTCATACAATTGCGGTTTTAACATTGTCGTTACAAATGGTAAATTTTTTTCCGTCAACCAAAATATATTAATTTTTTTAGAATTACTGGTGGGTGCTTTATAAATTTGTACATTATGATATGGCGAATTTTCAGTAACAACAACAGATCCAACAGGCAAATTGGGGATTAACTGTTCTTTCATCCATTTTTCATAATTTTCTGAATTCATATCATGATAAACTCCTGACTTAAAAATCAAAAGGGCATTCTGTATGAAACCCATCTCCCCACCACCATGTACGATAACCAACCTACTTCCTTTTGAAATGTTTTTGAACAATCCTTTGCCACTGTCATTTGTCCAGCAATTGACTAACCTTTGCTTTTGTAATATTTAATTTTGTCCAAATATTTAATGCGTAGAGCACGAATATCATTCCGTTCAATTAATATACGTCGATTATCTTTCGTTTTCTTCCATTTAAATCCTTTCAAATCCATTCTAAATCTTTCACAATTCTGTAGAGAGAACTCACACTTCCCGTCCACTCATACACCTCTTCAAGCATTTTCTGCAAAAGCTTCAATGACAATACACGACAACGTTCAGTCTCATGAAAACGATGAATGGTATTTCCAATGAACTGTTTGTCATACTCCCTTAAGTCTGCCACGGATGCTTTCCTTTTAGCAAGTGTTGTAGCTGGAAGTTTTAGTGTATCATTTGACTCTGCGTTTGTTAATATACTCGCTTGTTAAATGATCCTTTTTACTTTACATAAAGATACTCCAGTAGTTTCACTCACACGTTGTTTAATACTGGTTCGATTGTCTTCAGGAAATAGTATTTGCATATATTTAAATAAATAGTAAACTATTCCTTTGAATTCTGGTGTCAATCTGATTTGTTAACTCGTACTTTTCTTGTTGAGACTCGTAAACATAATGAGACTAAATTACAAACTCGTTTGAAATCCAGTGACTAGAAATTCTCGGAAATAATTCTTATCAGTTCTTTGTATCTCCTTAACGACTCGTTAAAGAGTCATTAATAATGACTTGATAATTCCGGTTTTAAGGTAACTGATACTAAATTTTGAACGAAAAATCCTTAGACACATATATAAGGGGCTACGGGAAAATGACATGACGCACAATGACGCAGAAGATATAACTTTGAACTATACACAGCATACAATGAACCCGAGATCATAACATCCATAAAGATCGGACGTCTGCGCTGGATGGGCCATGTTGAACGGATGTTGGCGACTGAAACGCTAAAACATATAATGAGGCAAACACCAGTAGGGAGAAGGTCAAAGAGAAGACCCAAACTTAAATACATGGAACAAGTGGATCAAGATCTGAAAACACTTAAGATTACCAACTGGAAAATCAAGGCAAGGAACAGAACAGAATGGCAGAAAATCCTAGAACAAGCCAAGACCCAGAAAGGGTTGTCCAGTTACCGATGATGATGATGATACTAAATTAGAAATTAACTTTTACCAAACTTTATAGAGTATCACTGATTAAATATGGTATTATAACAAACAAAAAGTTTGGTATCTACAAAACAATCTGTGTACAATCAAACTCCATTTATTATTTAAGTGAATAATAATTTTGCAATTAGTGTGATTTTAAATAATTTAATTTGTTTAATATTGAAACGCCACTGCCTGGGTCTGATCATAGATATTCTATTGTCTGCACGATTAACTATTTCGTAGAAGGGCTCGTCACTCGATTTGAAATAAGCTGTATCTTCTGTTACTTACCTAATAATCGAGCCCTAATTAATCCCTCCCTCTTTTGCGCTCTCACAATTTTCACCTTAGGCTCATCTTTCCAATAATCCTCTAATTGCTTTTTGGTGTGCGGCATATCCGAATAATCGTCTACGAGAATAACTTCTTCAATGAGACTTCTAGGAGATCTGTCCAACACCGAATGAACGGTCCTAAGTAGCACCGACCATGCTTCGTTATGGAAACAGATGATAACGGATGTGGAGGGAAGCTTGCTGATATCAAGGAAACGTCCATCTTCTTTACACCTAAAATAATAAGTTGTATTGTGAAAATTCAAACTTTGATTTATATTTTATAAGTGAAAATATACGATAGAGCAACCACTTCCATGCTCAAGAAAAGTTCATAACAGTTTTCCTCACTTACAAAATCGACATGCCTTTCTGAAACTGAGTCTCGAAATACAAATTATTACGTCTGTGTCGAGACCTCGATGAAACTTTAATAAAGATAATTGAAATAAATGCACTGCATGTTTAGAAAAGTTTATAAAATAGATTTTATTATAAATCAGCAAGTGAGATTGCTTGAGAAAACTTAAAAATTGGGCTGCATAAAAAGCCATTCAAGAGGCTATAAATACGAATATAGAAAAGTTCTAAATACAAGAAAATTCTGGTTGACGAGTTGTTATCGTTTCTTGGCGAAAAAAGGAAATAAACATGAACGTATACTCATTCATATGTCTTCATTCCAGTCAATTGGTTCCAGGATTTGAATTAAATCGTAAGGTATGGGTGACATTAAATAGTATCCAATCGGATGGGATAGTTGTGCTGACATCCTAGCAAAATGGGGAATAATTCAGTCTCCAGAATATTACTGTAACCATGAAAGATAAACTATAAAACACACTACTTTTTAATGCCCTATTTGAGCATATCGACGCCCATGGAGTGACTTCCTTCAAGTAGAAGTCTGAAGCAGTAATTTGGATAAGTAGTATTGATATCAAAGTTTAATAAATAAATTTTAATATAATTTATTAACTATTATTATTATTTTTACTATTATATTATTAATTATTATTTTCATTTTTATCTCAAGTTCATAATTTACAGCATTTTCCGTAATTTATGTCATATTCTAAATAAATTAAATAAGTTTCACAGAAAAAAATTAATATGTTTATTGCATTTAAATGTTATCCACTTCGGATATAACAATTCTTGATGTTCAGCCGAACACCAAGAATTGGGACAAGGAAATTATTCTGTGGATACTATCTTTGTAATAAACCAAATAAAAGGAAAATCAAGTAAACATAAGTAGCATTTACATTTTTTATTGATTTACAACAGAATTTTCTTCTTAATTTTCTGTTATTAAGTAAATGATCTGTTAATTTTTTTGAACACATCTTTCTGCCAACAAGATTTTCATCTGTCTTTTTACCGTTTGGAGTTCTCCTAGTTGTCACGACTTGATTTTTCTTCGAGTACTACTTGTATCTCGTATCTCAGCAAATTTGGAGGTTAAATACAAACAATCAAAGCGGTGTTGCCGATCAACCTCCAAATGTAGTTGTTAAAGTAGATGGAAAGAAAACCAAGGAGATACAAGAGACACGTGAAAATATAACAATACAAATCAGCAATTCTTAAGCGCATTAACTAAAAACAACAAAGAGTGAAAATGAATAATATCCACAGTCTTGGTCAAAATGTCAACCAAACACGGTCCGATGCAAAAGATGTGGGTAATAATACCGAGAGTGAGGAGCTAGTATTAAAAGACAAGGAGTGGATTTGTACGGCGAAGTATAAACAATCTTATAGTACAGAATAATTGGAAACATACCTACAAACAAAGTTACCCAACCATGAGTTCTGAGAGATTCTGAGAGATTTTAGAGATTTCTGGATTTTGGAACTCCGGATTTTCGAGGTTCAACTGTATATCATATTACTGATTGATTTTTAGCACGGCTTTTAATATTTTAGGTGACGTTAAAGCTGAAGATGAAGTCTCGTAACTAGCAACATGTCGAACTTTGCAAGAAAGTGAGTCCTATTGGCAAGAGAATGAAGATGAATTATTATCCTGTCCAGACACAACAACTGGTCTTCAAAAAACGTCCGAGTTTTCCTTTGATTTTTGGGATCATGGTTCTTGGAATACTAGTCTGAAAAACCACAAAGTTTTTCAGATTCCGAAAGGTGTCAAATACCAAAAATGAGCTTTGCCAATCTGATTGAGATAAATTTAAATGGTAGTAACAGAGAAGAACCTAACTTAACCAAAGATTGGTTTTATAAAGATCTTAAAGGTGGAAAAAATGTAAAGAGATCGTGTAAAGGCTGTAGTAAAAGTAATAAAGCTCTATATTATATTTTCTTCAGGCTGTTTTCACACTTAGCATCAAATCAAATTTCTGCCTTAGCTAAAGAAAAAGGATTTGCCAATTGGAGAAAATTCAATGAAAAATTGCCTGAACATAAAAATTCATCCAACCACAAACATTGTTTTTGTTCGTGGAGAGCGTTAGAATCTTGTTTAGGAAAGATCTCACTGAAAGGCAGTATTGCTGCATTATTAATGCTATTCTATTCGTAGCAAAGCAAGCAAATTCATTACGAGGAACTAAGAAACACTGTGATTTCAGCGACCCATCCAGTGGAAAGTTCTTGAACACAATAGAACTTGCATCGCATTAGAATGGCCCAATTCTCGTTTTTCTCACATAAAATAAAATACAAGATTTTTTTTTTGTGTGTGTGTTTTGGCTTGGACAATTGTCATTCAGCCAGTCTCAATCAAGATAAGTGTATTAATGTAGTGTGTGTGTGTGTGTCTGTGTGTGTGTGTGTGTGTGTGTGTGTGTGTGTGTGTGTGTGTGTGTGTGTGTGTGTGTGTGTGTGTGTGTGTGTGTGTGTGTGTGTGTGTGTGTGTGTGTGTGTGTGTGTGTGTGTTTGTTTGTGTGTGTAGAGTAATTGTCTTGATACTTAGCAAAGTCGACGTCATTGTCTTTGCTAAGAGACGCTAATTGTATCCGGACGTCTGCGGTCCCTCCGGTGTGTACCGATCACACAAGGATACAAATTATTTTCATTTATTAATTTTTTTAATAAAGGAAAATTTCCACCCAGATGGGATTCGAACTCACGACCTTTAGGTTTAAAGGCAGGCGCTCTTACCACTGAGCCACAGAGGGGGTTAAAATACAAGATGAATTCCTTGAAATTATTGCCAATGTCATAAGGCAAAAGATAAGGCAATAAAAGACATTTTGGATGCTAAATATTATTGCTTAATATTTGACTGCACTCCAGATATCAGCCATAGTAAGCAAATGTCTCACGTAGTTCGTTATATAAAACAAATACATCGGCGGTAGAAGAAAGTTTTATTGGTTTTCTCGCAGTTAGTGACAAAACAAGTGAAGGTCTCAGTCAAGAAATTCTAAAAAAAAAATAGATAAAGGTGGACTAAACTTCTTTGAAACTTGAAATTCTTCGAGAAAATGTGTGCCGCTGCTATTGAAAACCGAAACTAATACAAGATAGTCGTCTGCAAGATTGGTTTCAGTCGAAGCTGTGTATAAACATGATGGTAAAGTTGTGCAGGCTCTAGTGGATCTTAAAAACCACGATCTCCCAACACCTCTCCCTCTTTTAAAACATTAGAGAAACTTGAATTTATTGTTTTGACATTTTTCTGGTATGCTTTGTTGAAAAAGAAACAGTAGACTTAATTGCCCGCAACCTTCAAGGTCCTTTACTGCTATTTAAGTCTTGCAGAGAGTTAGTTCCATCTGACGCCATTACTGATACTGGGGCTAAGTTCTTAGCAAGCACGAGAGATCTACCATCCGAGTTCTCAAAAAAAGAAAAAGAAAAAAGAAAAAAAAATGTCTGATGAGCTGTGTAACAATGAAGCTCCGACAAGTATTGAGAATGTATACCAAGTAACTATGTTAGAAGTTATTGGTCGGATCTTCACTGCTGATCTCAACGTTTTAGAATTTAAATTTAAAATAGAAAGTTTTAAGCACCACGCTGTATAAGTTGACGAAGCTTTAAAGGAAGCCGCATCAAAAGAAATGTTAACTCCTATTTATAAAAATAAACTATAGGAAGGCTATCCTAACATTATTACTGCACTGAGAATGTTCCTCACTCTGCTGGTTACAGTGTCATCTGAAAAATAAAGTTTTGTCAAACTTAAAATCATTAAAAACTGCATGAGAAGTATCAGGAGAGACAACCTTAACCAATTTTGACGACATTATCAGTAACTTTGCAGCTAAGATGACTCGACGAATTAGTTTTTAAGGTACAATATATAACCCAATAGTAATGTACCTATATGTGTATTAATATAAGTGTAATGTATGTATTAATATGTATAAGTGTATTAATATAAGCGTTTTTTATAAATAAAACTTTTTACTAGATAAAACATATGGTGTGCAATCTCAACTACCGCATCTAAAAAATAGCTTATGGGGATATTAATCTGATCTTCTTCGCTCTCCCCTGATAAATCTCCTAGTTTCGGCCTATGGTGTACAGCGCTTCTGCTATCTCGCTCACACAGCACAGTCACAGAAAAAGTAAAATTTGTTATTTGTAAATTGTTATTTGTTCTGTGGCACGGTTACTTTCCTTTCTTTGCTCATAGGAAGCAATATAAAATTTGCCAAGTAGTACTGTACCTAATTTGAAAAGTCAGAGTTTATCTCACTAGTTTATTTTTCCGGGTTTTACAACAACTTAACTATCCACGTATATGGCTTGTAGAAAATAGTAAACAAAGTTTCAGCTCTTGAAATCATCCTATTCTTAAAGCTAAAATAATAGCTGTCTTGGCGTTGACAATCAGAACACACTTAAATGATCAGAAATGTCTCATATGTGTTGTGTAAGTGTTACAGGACGTGAATAATATATATGCGACGCTGTCAGAAATAGATATTTAATGTCGTGTTAGTTCCAAGAATTTTATTTTCCATCTTCAACTTTTCACAAGTTCATCCAGCTACCAACTTTTGTGAGACTTCGTTTTTGAAAAGAAATCATAACTTATTTCAATTCCATTTAGATTTTTAGAGAAAGTTTTCCAGTTTGTAATACTGAATGTGGTTGGGTATAAAACTTTCAGTTTTGATATTTGAATTGGTATTGCTTTAACCATTTATAGCAAGCTGTTACTGTTGTTATACAATTTTTATTGTCCTTTGTTACAAAAGTTCAATTTCATATCTAAATCGTTTTGTATTGTGTAAAAGAAAAAAGGAAAAAAG